AGCTACGAGAATCCTTTTTTAGAAATGAGAGAACAACAAGCACGACAACAACGACGACAACAACAATAAGCAACAAACAACGAACAACCAACAACAAACAACATAATCAAACAACAACCCCAACAACAACAATCATGTCAATATTGCTGCCTCTCATCTTCCAGCGTGCCATTCACACGTAGCTCTCAAACCCTCGATACCCGCCTTCTTCGTCTTCGATCGTACCCCCCTTGAGTGTGTATCTCCCTTGCCAGCCACGTGTAGTTGGCTCAGCCCCTAAGACAGACGAAGAAAGAGAGGACGGAAGAGACCAGGGAGAGGGAGAAGCAGGGAGCACGGGAGAGGTCTGCAGGAGGAGGATCAGGAGCAGGACTAGATGCGGGAGAACCAGGAAGGCGGGCCAGGCGGGCGGACCCCTAACGGGCAGGTCGCGTGGGCGGGCCCAGGGGGCCGGATCGAGCGGGCGCGTCAATCCAACGTGAATCGCGAGGACGTGTCGAGCGATAGCGGGATTCCCAAGAACATCGTCGGGAAATCCATAGCGAGAGCACAATTCTTGAGTGTTGGGGCACGGTGTCGCATAAATCGCAAGGTAGTATGACGCGAGAGCGCGATTCATGCATGAATTATGACGAGGTCCCACGCGAGAGCGCGATTCGGAAATCATTTGTGAGGAGGTATCAGGCGGGAGCCGTTGTTGTTGCTAATGGGGGGCCAAGGGCGCAATTCAAGGAAGACTGCCCCTAGTAAAAACCCTGGTGAGAGCCCTGGGCAGAGCACTCACATTGAAAACAAGTTGCATTGGAGGAGGGAGATCAACAACAATGATCTTTAGAACTGACAATGAACAATAATCCTCACCGCGGACGCCGACTTCAACCACGCACCCAGGGACAATGAATGATCGTTCGGCTCCCTTACTCTGAAATAGCACCCAGCAGTTGCAGATGAGAGTGAAAAAGCGGCGGGGTCGTCGGTAGTCTGCGAGGCTCTGAAGAAGCCCGCGGCAGGCGCCGAGTTTACAACACGTTGCACAACGAGCCCGCCGCCGGCGCCGATTTCGTCGTCAAAGCAACGTGGGTGGGTCGCGGATGGGTCGTGGGGTGGGTCGTGAGGTGGGTCTTGGGTTGGTCGCGGTGGCTGGCGTGGGTCGCGAGGTTGGTCGCGGGCGGATCGCGGGTGAGGATGACGACGACAGCATCGCAACAGCATCGCGACAACGACACTGCAACAACGATCTTCACCGCGGAGTTCCCTCCGTTTCAGCCACGCGCCCAGGGGCCATTAACGACCGCTCGGCCCTTCAATCTGATACTCGAGCCAGGGGCAGGGAGGGGGGGGGGGGGCAAAGACGATGGACCTGTTTTGCTCCACTACCACCATCAGCTGGAGTGGGGAAGGAGGTGGAGGAGGAGGAGGAAGAGGAGGAGGACCCCCTCCCCCTCCTGCTTATGGTGGTGGCGGTGGAAAACGAGCCCAGCAAGAGATATCCACATCCGCCGCCACGCGAGGTCCAGGAACATGAGGTCTCCTCGGCGGTGGTGGACGCGTAGGAAATCTCGGCGGCGAGCGAGGGGGGGGAGTGAGAAGGAGAAGGCTTTCTCAGAAGGCTCGGAAATTCCAGGGACTTCTGAGAAGTTTCCCAAGCCTCCCCCGAAGACAGAAAAGAATTCTCAGAAGGCCGGAGGCCTTCTGAGAAGTCCCGCCGCCCTCCGAGAAGGCCTTCTCCTTCTCATTTCCCCCCCTCGCTCTCCGCCGAAAATCCCCAGTCTCGGACTCCGCTCCTCCCCGGCCCCCGTCCCTGCGTGCCCCGGGGGCGCAGCCCGACGTCTCTCCACTGGGGCTGGACCTAAACGTTTTTGTTGCTCGTTCTGTTTCGCGCTTTTGTTTCCGCTTTGCTCCGCTTGTCAGTGTGTTGTTCGTGAATTGTTTTCCTGTACCTTGTTTTGTTAGTTGTTTGTTAGTTCTTTGCTTTGTTCCGTTTGTTGTTAGTTGTGTGTTCGTCTTGTTTTCCTGTACCTCCCTGCCGAAAAACGAAAACCAATCCACAGCCGAAGTCCAGCAAAACAGCGTGTAGGTTTAGGGCGGGCGTGTGCCCCTACAAGCGGACTTTGGACGAAACTTCAAAGGTACCCACCAAATACCCCAAAATGATCAACAATACTCCATATATACCTATATATATATATAAACAACAACAATCGACCCAATGATCAAACATATTAAGAAAAAAATCGACCCCTGATTATTTTAAACTATTTGTGAACACTCCTCCTGTAGAGGGACAGGCCCGACGTAGGTCTAGGTCCAGCCCTGCTCCGCTCCTTCCCCGCCCCCCTCCCTGCGTGCCCGGGGGGGTCGCAGCCCGACGTCTCTCCCAGCCCCCTTGCGCGCGGCCACGTGCAGGCCCCTCTCGTCCCCTGCCCCATCCCGTGGCAGATGACGCGCGAGGAGAGGAGGAGGAGGAGGAGGAGGAGGAGGAGGAGGAGGAGGAGGAGGAGGAGGAGGAGGAGGAGGAAAAAGAGGAGGAGGAAAAAGAGGAGGAGGAGGAGGAGAAATAGGAGTAGGAGGCGGAGGAAGAGGAGGAGGCAGCCCAGCGGAAACCATAGGAAAGTCGAAGGATGGGTTGCAGACTGTGGTGGGTATGGGGCACGCGACTCACATCCTCCCGCGGACGTGCCAAACCGACCCGGGGGATCAATCCGTGGCGACGCTTGCTCAGGTGGTCTAGGAGCAAGGAATGGCGACACCAACGCCACCAGGGTGAGGAGATGCGAAGCGGTGAATTCACACCAGTTATTTGAAGGAGCTATTTGCTAAAGGAAACAAGGCTTTTGGTAAAGTGCTGTTGCTCTGTTGTGCGGCAACCGCGGCGGCGCGTTCGAATTGACGAGCCACTTCCTGCGCTCGCGCCCTGAATCTTCTGTCGAGGAGCATCCACAGCTCGTTGAAAACATGTCCAGGGGTCGCCGCGACCCAATGCAACGGGACCCCCATTACTCGAGCGAGTGCATCGCGGGGTGAACCGGCAGGAAAGACAAGGGCCCCCGCCCCCCGACCGGGCCCTGGCCCCGCATCACCACCGCAACCCCAGGGTTTTATTAAGGCAGACCGCGGACTTTTTCGGTCGGCGGCCGCGCGACAATGGTCTGGCGGCAACAGGCGTGTCCGGGACGGCGGAACAGGCAAATTCCACGCGAGGCGTGCAATGCACGTGCAGTAGACCGCGGACTTCACGAAAGCGGCAAAAAAGGTTTTACTAGAGCGAAGAAGCGGCATTACTACAGCGAGGAAGCGGCTTCACTAAAGCGAGGAAGCGGCTTTGGTAAAGGCGCGCAACTCGCTAAATTCCGATAAAAAAAAAACGTTTTACTACAGCGAAAAGGGAGCTTTAGTACAGCGGAGGAACGGCAGGGGAAAAATTGCGCGCAGAATTTTCGCTCCCATAAAATCTTGCGCGGGACTCTAGGAGCGAGGGCGGGGCGCAAGTTCGCCCGTGGCCCGGGCCCCGTCGCCGCCGTCGCCGCGATGTTTGTCGTCGCCGCCGTCGCCGTTGCCGCCGTCGTCGTCACCGTCGGCGCAGGCGCCGCCGTCGTCGTCGTCGTCGTCGCCATTCGCCCGATCCGCTGGATCCAGCTCGGAAAAAAATCAGAAAGATGTGGTTCGGGGCTCCGGTCGCGAGGATTGGCGATGCTGCATATTTTTTTTCGCAACGTCGGATCTCAGGGATGGGGCGGGCGTCTCTTCCTCGGCGGACGGCCGGCGGGAGCCAGCAGAAGTAAAGTGACGGCGTCTCGGCCGGCGGAAGGCCGGCGGAAGCAACATCGCCCCCCCAACAAAACAAAAAAAAAACATGTGGAAGTTGTTTGGGGTTCAGGGTCTCAGATGTCGCCCACATGGTGGCGGCCACCAATATCAAGCAGTGTGTTGGTCTGGGTCCTGGCGTGGCTCCTGAGGCGGGAGGGGGCGCTCCGCGCCGATCAGCATGGACACTGGGGGGATCCGCTCGCGCGCTGCCAGCTGCCGCGCGGACGTCGAGGCTGTCCTCCGTTTGTCGGCGCCCATGCCGAGGGCGCATGAGTCGTCGCGGATCGCGCCGTGCGTGCCGATTACGAGCAGAGGTGCTTCAAGCACCCTTCTGCTCACACTTCGCTCCTCGCACCCCACGTGCAGGCAATAAACGTCTTGCGAGGGAGTGGCTGCGACATCAGGTCACCGGCTGGCGGAGCCCGTGAAGAGCACACGCCCACGCGATAACGCTGTGGACCGCAGCGTGGCTCATCGACCAGACCAGGGCAGATGGTATGCGATGGTATGCGCAAGCTGGCCCTCCAGCACCGCAGCCCGCACTGGTGCGGCGTGAGGACGGATCCCGTACCCTACGCGGGGCACGTTCGCGAAAGAGAAAAGGAGGGGGAGGAAGAGGAGGAGGAGGCGGAGAAGGAGTATGATGATGAGGGGCAGGGGGAAGAGAGGGGACGTGGAGGGGAGGACTAGAAGGAATAGCTGGAGAAGGAGGAACGGGTGGAGGAACAGGAGGTCTAGGAGGGGGAGAAGACAAGAGGAGGTGGAGGAGGATAAGGAGAAGGAGCAGCTGAATGAGGAGAAGCTGTACGATCAGGAGCAGGGTGAACGGGAGCAGAAGCGGAAGCTGCGAAAAAGATCAGGAAGGGGGAAGCGAGGGGGCAGGCAGAGGGCGAGGCAGTGGCGGACGAGGGGAACGAGGACGAGTGAACGAACTTGCCGGCCAAGGGCGCCAACATGCCGGCCGGTGTCCGTGGCAATTTCGCGCCGTGGCATCACAGGAGGAGGAGGAGGAGGAGGAGGAGGAGGAGGAGGAGGAGGAGGAGGAGGATATGAGGCTCTTCTCCCACCCTTCCCACCGCCTGGTTCTCACATGCTCCTTCGTGTTTGGCGATTCGGGCTCGAGCGAGGAACTCTCAACTTACGGGTTGTCTAAGCACAAGAAACGCCCTCCGCTGCTGCTTTCTTTCGAACGCATGGCGCGGAGCTTCTCCATTCTCTGTGTCGTCGGACTCAGTGGTGCCGACGCCACGCGCGCGGCAGCCTCGACGAAGCTATCAGCACATGGGGCGGCAGCGTACGAAGACTTCCGCCAGGAGTACAGGGCTGGAGGGGATGCTGGTCCGGACCACGTCAGCTACGCCACTCGCGCCTCACTCTTCCAGGTACGGAGCGCAGAGATTGCTGCCCACAATGCTCGGCCAGGCGTCTCCTGGAAGAAGGGGATCAACAGGTTCACCGACCGCACCGACGCGGAGCTTCGTGGCATGCTGGGCTACCGGCGCGTCGGGCATCTGAAGGCGCCCACTGGCGCCAGCTCCTTCCTGGAAGTGAAGCCCTCCAAGAAGGCCTTGGCCGCGTCTGTGGATTGGCGAAGCAAGCTGAACAGCTCCCGAAGCTTCGTACGCGATCAAGGCTCAGGGCGCTACAAATGGGAACAGACGAACGGGAGCACTGGCACTTCTCCCACTCCCCCCCCAAAGGCAGACGTGGGTCGAACCCTGCTTTGTTCTTCGACTCCTCGCTGTAGATCTGACGGTGCCCCGTTTGCGTTTGTCCCCGTTTGCGGTGGATTGAGAGGTGGTTGTGGTTCTTGCTGGGCCGTGGCCGCCGTCGGCGCGCTCGAGATGCACGCTGAGGCCGCTACGGGGATCACGAAGCCTCTCTCATTCGAGGAGCTGGTGGATTGCGTGCCGAACCCGAAGCACTGTGGCGGTGACGGCGGCTGCAAGGGCGCAACCGCGGAGCTCGCGTTCCAGTATGTCCAGGAGCACGGGCTCTCCGCCGCGGACAGCTACAAGGGCTACATGTCGGGGGGCGACGGCAAGTGCCGGGTATCGCAGGCCAGCAGCCAGAAGAGCACCAGGTCCACAGGGTGGGAGCGGCTGCCTGAGAACAAGCTGGACCCACTGCTCGAGGCCGTAGCGAACAGGGGTCCCGTCGTGGTCTCGGTCGACGCGTCCGGCTGGTCCAGTTACCAGTCCGGCGTCTACACCGGGTGCGAGCAGAACGCCACAGTGAACCACGCGGTGGTGGTGGTGGGCTTCGGCACCGACGAGGCGTCTGGCAAGGATTATTGGTTGATCCGCAACTCGTGGGGCGAGGGCTGGGGCGAGCAGGGCCACATCCGCCTGGAGCGCCACAAGGCCGACGAGGGCGACGCAGGGTATTGTGGCGTGGACAAGTCCCCGCTGCAGGGCGTCGGGTGCGCAGGCGGCCCACCAGAGATCCCGGTCTTCGAGTAGGGGATCGTCCTACAGAATTCATGTACCCCAAATTTCTTCCCTTTTCGGATCTATAGATCCGCAACGTGTCCCGCAGATCTGCCAACATTTTACGCACGTGTTTCGTCGGCGATCCCCTGCTCGAGGTCTGCGGCATGTGCGGCGTGCTCTCCGATTCCTCGCTCCCGACGGGCGTGGTCATCCAGGGCCTTGCGTCGCTGTGAGGGCCGCTGCGGCGCGGCGGCGCCCGTTGCGACCCCGGGCCCGGGGCGGCGGCGCGCTGCTGGAAAAGTCCGTCCCGCCTCCCCCGCCCACCGTGCACGAAGTCCACGCCAGGGGGTCATCCATATCCGCCGATTTGAAGACGTGCTCCCGGCACCTCGCGGAGCGCTGGATACACGCCGGTCGTTGAAAGTAGGTATTTCTGGATTCCCAGATCCCAATCTACTTCAAACGCCTTCCTACTTCAAGAATGACATGCTTTTGCTGTGTTTTGTTGTCCTCTGGGAGGACCTGGACCCAATCTACTATATCCGCCTTCCTACTTCATGTCTTTACCTACTTCTTCCGACCGACGTGTATGGATGCAGTGGAGGCCGACCACAAGACACCTTCCACGGGAAGCCCAACCCTGAGACCCCAGGACGTCCAGTGGTGTTTGGTGCGGGAGCGCCACGCTCGCCATAGCAAAACCATCGAAGCCCAAGAAGCCCAGGGCACCCTGGAGGCAAGCAGGGTGTTTCGTGGCGTGGGCCTCCACTTGCTGTCCCGCCCTCGGGGCGCGGGAAGGAATCCATGGTCCACGCTCCGCCAGGTCCTCGCGGGAACGTCTCCAGAGCTCGGCGCATGCGGGAGGCCCTCGGCGTGGACGAGGAGGAGCACCAGGAGTTCACAGCGCGGGGCGGGCATGCCCTCCCAGTGTTCGGAGGTACTGCTCTGCTCTCGTGGCTTGCCTTCGAGGGACCTTCGCTTCGAACGATGCGCCAAGTTTCGGAGGCCCGTTGCTTCCGAGATCCTTGATGGTCGAAGTCGCCGTAACAGGCTTGCGAGGAAGAGGGGAGGGAGGAGGAGTGCGTCCTGCCCGGCCAGGACTGCCTGCGGACCGATTGAGGCCGATGAGCCACATGACTGCCCGGGCAAGCCAGCTGACGGCCAGCCGTCCAATAGATGGACAGCTGGTTGGTAGAATAGGCGTCCATCTGGCGTCTACCATCGGTTGTGTCTGCCGCCGCGCCCCGGGGACACGCCAGCCGTACTTCCGCGGTTGAGAGATAGCGCCGCGGCCGGACGGAGTCAGAAACAGCGTGCCCATGGCTTCTTCGCTTGCCCGTCCCGGGGGGGGAGGGGAAGGACGAGGAGGAGAAGGGCAACAAGGAGGACGAGGACGAGCAGGAAGGGCGGGATGGGAGGAGCGAAGGGCAGGGGGTAGGGAAGTGGAACGGAAGCGGGCACGGGAGGGCGAGGAGGGAGGGAAGGGGACAACTACCTCCCCCTTCGCTATCTCGCCTTCCATCGCCTTTTCTCTCTCTCACACACTTTTTCTGTTTTGTTTTGTTTTTTCTCTCTCTCTCTCTCTCTATATATGTTTTGCTCTCTCTCCCTAGCTCTCTCTCTCTCTCTCTCAGCCTTGGCCCGAGTCCCTTGTGCACAGAGCGCAGTCACAGGCGCAGACCTCCCATAAGCCCCATCCCAAGCAGCTCTGTAGGGATGTTCTTCGCAAATCCGCCTGTAGGAGGACATGCCAGAGCTAAGATTGAAAGTGCCCACACGTGTCTCGCCAAGACCTTGAGTGATCAAAGCACGTCGGACCTAAATGTAGACCCCCCTTCCCCCAAAATTCAAAGTTGACGGGTTTGGGCGGTAGGCCAAAGGCCAGAGGCAACATGTGGGCACTTGAACTTTGGGTTCGGGGGGAAGGGTTCGAAGCAAGGGCATGTTGCAGCTGTGGCTGTCAGCATCTTGCGTCGCCTTACCGCCGTTTGGTGTGGACACTTGTTGTCCGGGCACCGCAGTCCATCCATCACGGGAACTATCTACTTCGAGTTCCCGCTCTTGGCGACCAAGTCCCTCCCGATCCACCTGCACACGATCCTCCCGATCGTCGCAGGCCTAGAGATTGACACCAACACCAATATCGGCGGTGTGCATCCACCAAGGGAGGAAGATCCCGATCTCGGTGCTGGTGGTAATATTCTGGCTTCCAAGGTGGCCGAAATATTGCCACCAGCACCGAAATCGAGGATCGTCTTCCCCCTGTGGAGGCAACCCCTTGTGTTGGTGTTGGTGCCCATTTCTAGGCCTCCAAGATCGTCCGGCGGATCTGCACGGAGGCCTCCCAGCCCACGAGGTTCGGGCTCTCCTGGTCTCGATGTCTGCGCGACGTCTGCCGTGCCATGGCCTTCGTGCCCGTCGTGCCGCAGTCCTACGCCCCCCCTGCCGGCCAGTGTGACCCTCGTCCTCGTCGGGAGCCTCGCGACGGGGGTCAATGCAAACGGGGGTCAGCCAGAGCGCCGGATCCTGCAGGATCCTGCAGGGCCAGGGTCGCATTGACCCGGGTTTGGGTGCAGGATCCTGCAGGATCTTGCCGGATCCTTCGTATTGACCCGGGTTTGGGTGCAGGATTTTGCAGGATTCTGCAAGGTCTGACTGACCCGGGTCTGGATTGACCCGGGTCAGCAAGTCTCCGACCTCGATGGGGCGTTTTCCATGCAGATTTTCAGGTTCAGCGCAGTCACCTGCGTGACGCCCCATTTGTCCTCCGTGTTCAAGCAGTGGCGAAGCCTTCTTGCTCGCCTATAGGCCCGCCAAAGGATGTTCTATTATCTTTTCGAGCGGTTTGCACGAAATGTTTTTACAACATTTCTGGCTGGGACTGCCTTGGTTTCACACAGCGGGTTTGTTATCTGAGAACATTGTTTCTGTGGTGAGAGCACTTATGGGTTCTAGGAACATTTCGTGGTAGGCTTATCGGAATGCTGGGACGGTCGGTCTCTGCTCAACGTGTCGCCCTCCGTGCCGAAGAGCCCCACCACCCGCCGAGCAGGGAGGCTGCCAGGCCGGCACGGCAGCCAGCCTGCGCGCGAACCACAGCACCGCCCTGCCGACGGTGCCTCCGCCGGCTGCCACCGGAACTGGCTGGCCACCAAGCCAAGCTCGCATCCAATCAGCACGAAAGGGAACGACAGCATGCGCGGGCGACGACGCGGGCGCGCGTGTAGTTCGTTTTATGGTGGTGGTGGTGGTGGTGGTGGTGGTGGTGGTGGACAAGCGCGTCTGACGACAGCGCGTCGACACCCGCCGCCGACGGCCCCCGAAACGAACGTCGACCGACCGACGCACAGGCACGACGAGCAGGCAGCCACATGCCGAAGCCGCCCCGCCGTGGTTCGCAGCGGCCCGCCCGCCCAGCGGCCGACACGCGCCACAGGCGCCCCCCCGCAGGGCCACCGGGCCCCCGCGACAGCCAGACCACGTCTTGGGTTTCGATGGTTTCGTGATGGGAAGCGCGACGTTCCCTCGCCAAAGAGCAGGGGACGTCCTGGGGTCTCAGGGTTGGCTTTCTTGTGGGAGGTTCCTTGTGGTCGGGCCCCGACAGTGCCCGATCCAGCCCACGTCGGTGTCTGACCTCCGACCCGCCCTCGGATCCCAGGGGCCGCCGCAGAAGGCCCCGCCGGGGCCGCCGCGCCAACGGCGGGCCAGGGCCTCGAGCCACTGCGCGCGAGCAGCGCGTTCCCCGCCACGCGCGCGCCCGGCCCTGGGACCACGCAGCGGACCCTGGCATGCAGCGTGTGCGCCCTCGCTGCCTGCCTTGAGGCCGCCCTCGGCACCAGCCACGGCGCTGCGGGCGCGACGGTCACGCGCGCCGCCTTCCGACGCCCCGCCGCGAGGAGCGGGCGACGCCCGTGGCCGACGCTCGTCTTGGCCTCAACGCCCTCGCTCACCGCTGGGGCCCGACGTGCCACGACTACGACGACGTCGTCTTCGTCCGACCCTGTTTTCGACTATCTCTGCTCACTTTTGAATACACTTCGACTATTCTTTATCTTTCCTCCCAAATCCGCCTGTAAGGGACATGCCCGACCTAACCCATGCTCCATGCTGCCTACCGGCGCCGCTGCCATGACCACCGTCTTCCATTGCCGTCCTCCGTCTGCCCCGTCTCGGACGTGCGCCACCAGGTGCACTGCCCGCGCAGGGTTCCGGACCAGTCTGCACGGGATGTGGCACGCAGCGTCGTGCGAGGGCCCCTTGGATACGCTCCGCGTGCTGGCCGCGACCAGGGGCCTAGCTTCCTTTCGCACGAAGGCCTTTATCATCATCATCATCATCATCATCATCATCATCATCATCATCATCATCATCATCATCATCATCACCATCATCATCATCATCAGCAGCAGCAGCAGCAGCATCAGCAGCAGCATCAGCATCAGCATCAGCATCATCATCAGCAGCAGCATCATCATCCTCATCATCATCAGCATCATGATCAGCAGTAGCATCGTTATCGCCATCTCATCACCATTTGCATCACCCTCATCATCATCATCCCCCTGATCATCAGCAGCATCATCATCAACAGCATCATCATCATCATCATCCTCATCATCGTGATCATCCTCACCATCCTCATCCTCATCCTCATCCTCACCAAGGGAGCGTGCGCCGAGAGGTGCCAGCCCCCAGCCCTGGCGGTGTCTCTTGGCGCCGCAGGCGTCGGGCCGGGCGGAGCCGGGGGCGGCCGTGCTTGCACGGCCGCTGGTTCCCGAGTCCCGTCGCCCTCAGGTCCGCGCGGGGAGGCCCTCGCGCCCTCCGCTGGGCGGGGCCACCTGCAGCTCTATTCGCCCCACTCGGCCGCGCGCTGCGGGAATACCTGGCAACCTGTTCCGCAGACCGGGCACCGGGGCCGCCGAGGGGTCGCTCCGAGGCGGCGCCGTGCCTTCTCGGGGCTCCGCGGCGCGCGCGCCGGAGCGCGCTGCAATCCGGTGCCCTTCGATTGTCGGGCGCGCAGAGGGAGCGAGCCTCGTCCTGATCGCCACCTGCCGCTTGAGCTTTCCAGGCGGGGTCCATTCCGTCCGCGCCCTGGTGGAGGTGCCTTTTCTGTTGCCGCCCCCCGCCGTTCGCCTGCGGCACCCCCCGCCTCAAGAGGTGGGCACAGCGGGCGCTTGCAACCCGCGGGCCCGGACGGACCTCGGCCCGCCCTCGCTGGTGCGCTGTATTGCTC